AAATAGTCTGTTGAGGGAAACAGCTTTTGAGCTTTTTGATAGAGTACAAAACACTTTTGAACCATTAGAAAGAGACCTTGAGTCCAGGAAGATTGAGAATGAGAACATTTATCCTTTCAGTTGTGTTAGCAACAGACTGGCCTAATACTTATGTCCTCTGGAAGCCTCTGGTCTTGTGTTCCTTTCCTGTGGGCTTTGCCTGAAGCTTTGGTGGTGGGGGGGAGAGGGTGGGGCAGGGCAGAAACGGAGCAGAGCACGCAGGTGGTATTTGCAAATGACTTTCTACTCTATCTGCTCATGTCTTTAATTCTGGGATGTGGGATATTATTGCCGCAAAGATTTGCTATCACTTCCCAATAAAAGAAAAATAAAGAAAACTTTATTTGGAAAAAAGAGATGGGGTTCAGAAAAAAAAACAGTGCTTACTTTTCAATGTCATCTAAGGATTGCTGTGTTTTGAAGCGCAGATATCAGTGTACAGAGGTGAGTATGGATGGAGGCAATCAATCAATCAACCAGTAAATCAATCGTCATTCAGTTTTTCTCTGAACAAAAAGGTGATCGCTTTGTGTGTGTGTGTGTGTGTGTGTGTGTGTGTGTGTGTGTGTGTCTCCATGCCTTTGACAGTACTGGGGCTTGAATTCAGGGTCCTTAGTATGGTCCCTGAGCTTTTTCATTTAAGGCTTGTGCTTTACCATGTAAGTGGTAAATTGGAGGTTAATTGGAGGTAAGAGTCTCTCACTGACTTTCCTTCCAGACTGTCTTTGAATAGCAATCCTCAGATCTTGGCCGCCTGCTTAACTAAGATTACTTACAACAGTCGTGAGCTGCCAGTGCCTGTTGGAAAGGGTTAGTTTAAAAGCTGTTGCAGCCGGGTGCTGGTGGCTCACGCCTGTAATCCTAGCTACTCAGGAGGCTGAATCTGAAAATCATGGTTCAAAGTTAGCCCAGGCTGGAAAGTCCTTGAGACTCTTACTCCAATTAACCACCAGAAAACTAGAAGTGGTGCTGTGGCTCAAGTGGTAGAGTGCTCATCTTGAGTTGAAGAGCTGAGAGACATTCCCAGACCCAGGACAGCGCCCAGACCCAGAGTTCAAGCCCCACGACTGACAGGGGGGGGAAAAAAAAAAAGCTGTGTTAGAGCACTTGCCTAGCTTAAGGGAGACCCTGGGTTTGATCCCCAGAGCTACAGAAAATAAAATAAAATAAATACATTTTATGAGATCACTTGGACAAAACATTTGCTCACATGAAACTCTTTTGCAGCCTTTAGGATATACTATGTCTTTTTTTTTTTTTTTTTTCTTAAAGTCATTTGTGGACAATAGTAAATATTGGCTCGAAGCCATAGGTGTTCATTTGTACAGGAAACAGGTTTAAGGAAGATACATTTCACAGCCCCTGAAAGCCACTGAAGTGTGATGAGCTCTCCTCCCCCTGTGCTCCTTATGTCTTGTTTGTCTGGGGACCAATTGAACTTCTCAGAAGGAGGCAAACATATGTGTCTCCTTCAGCCCCCACACACAAAGGTTTTTGATATGCTGACGTGTCACAGGTGCCAGGTGGTTGGTGGTGTTTTCATTTGAAGCTTAAGTCAGAATTTGTCTTCAGAGGTAGTCTTAGATACTATTGTTCCGATCAGTCAGCCTCCCAAAGTTTAAGTTGCAAAAGTAGCTTTTCCTTTTCTCTTCTAGCGAATAAAATAGAAAAAACAACAACAAAAACGAAAACAAAACAAAACACACATGTAAGCCAGGTGCTCTTGGCTCACACCTGTAATCCGAGTCACTCAGGAATCTGAGATCTGGGGATTGCAGTTTGAAGTCAGCCTATGCAGACAGATCAAGACTCTTATCTCCAATTAGCCAGCAAAAAGCCAGAAGTGTAGGTGTGGCTTAAGTGATAGAGCACCAGTGTTGAACAAAAACCTCTTAATGAGGCCTTGAGTTCAAGCCTCAGCATCCCCTCCCCTCCCTGCTCCCTGCCCCCTGCCATAAGAAAAGATGATGTGGTTTGGACAGCAAGGTCATATTTTATATTCTGTATTTAAGAGAACCTTGTAACAGTTATCTCTGCATGTGAAGGATGGAAGGGGTACTGACTGAGACTTGTGTGATACAGAGATTAAGTGCTCCCTGTCTGCCAGGGCGTGACTCCTGTCTTCAAGACTACAGATGCCTGGGGCTGCTGCTGACCCATTCATGTCTGTTGTCAAGACCATTCATTGGGCTGGTGTGTTAAAACTTTATTTTTTCCTCTGCTTATTGACAGCAAAAGCTGCAAGGTACTCAGCTTCTCTTGGTACAATGCAGTGCTTTCTTCTTAAAATAAAAATATCTCTTGGTGCCAAGATGAATACCATTTATTCAAATAGTGACCTTTTGCTCTTACTAAAAGAAATTGGTATTGGGACACAGGAGATTTGCCTGGTTTCTGAGGGACCTTGGGAGATCACAATCTGGTTGCCATAGCAACTCAGCAGCAGTGAAAATTACTCGTACTAGACATCTGAAGAGAGGTATTTTAGGGATGCTTAAAAGCCCTCTTCCCTTTATTTTTCTCCCTTGAGGAAGTGGGGCAGTGGTCAGGAGTAAGAGGGGGGCCTGTGTTTTCACTCTGGCCTTGGTGACAGTGATGGCTGAGGACTGGTCACAGGCCCTTTCTGTGTAGTATGGTAGGCAGACAGTGTGACAATCCAGAGCATACCCCACATTCACAAATCCTCACTCTTTTCTCCTAGAACTTTCTGACAACCCTGGTTGTCAACCAGGGTTGAGGACACATTGTCTGACAATTTGTAGGAGAGAGTAAGTAAGTTTGAGATTTGTCAAACAGAATCTGGGACCCAGAGTTTTGATGTCTATCAGTTTTCTTTTCCCCTGACTAACTCCACAGACATTTTATTATGAGCTTATCCCTAGAGCTTTAGACACAGAGCAGAGGGATTTTGCTCTTTTAGGGTGATGCTAGTATTTATCTAAGGACTTAAAAAAAGGTATGATTTTCCTTGTTGAAGTGTGGGTTTTTTTTTGTAAAATTTCATTTATTTTTGATTGTCAAGGTGATGTGTAAAGGGGTTACAGTTACATACGTAAGGTAATGAGCACTTTCCTTGTCAAACTTGTTACCCCATCCCTCATTTTTCTCCTACTTTCCCTCCCCCTCACCCCCTGAAAGTTGTACAGATCATTTCCAATATATTGCCTTGTGTATATCACTGTTGCATTGGCTCCCCCTTGTCCTTTGTCCCACATTCTGTTGTTCCCCTTCCTTTCCCTAATTCAAATAAGGCATTTGGAAGACGGGGAACAAAGAGTGGAAGAAGACATGAAAATGAAAAGATTTCTATGTTACTTCCTCACATGATCCTTGAACTGTTCTAACAAAGAATTTAGTGTTATGATAAATGTATACTTGTTTACATCATTGATACATGTATACACATGTATCAAAAGAAGTAATCGATGCAGTGTGGTTTATGCCATTATAGTAAAGTGTACTCTATATGTAAAAACAAAGTTTTGTTGTTGTTGTTGTTGTTGCTGTTGTTGTTTTTAAACTCAAGTGAGTGGCTTAGTGGTAGAGTGCTTACCTAGCATGCATGAAACTGGATTTGCTTCCTCAGTAACACATGAACAGAAAAAGCTGGAAGTCAGTGCTAGCTCAAGTGGTAGTGTGCTAATCTTGAGTAAAAGAAACTCAGGGACAGTGCCCAGGTCTTGAGTTCAAGCCTCAGGACTGGCAAAAACAAAAACAACCCCTTCCCTCCCTCCCCCCAAAAAAAAACAAAACTCAGGTGACTTCCTGAGTTAAAAGAATGATTAAAAGTGAACTTACAGGAAAGCAATGGACATGTTTCAGTTGTGCTGAGGATCTGACAAGATTTCTTCTTGAGGTCTTCTAATGGCATTTGGTGTTTGTATTGGTATGAGTTTGAATGTTGAAGCCTGAAAGATTATTGACATTCCTATTGTCCAGAAAAAATAAATTACCTTCAAATAACTTATCAGCCAAAATAATGAGAATTGCCAGGGATAAGTCTTACACTCCTTTTCCTTGAGTAGTCCTGATGTTTTTTCTTCCCCAAATTCATCTATTTTCTAATGTTAAACATAAAATCTCAGCAGTGAGTTCTTTTTTTTTTTCTCAGCAGTGAATTCTAAGGTGAATGAGTAGAAAAGGTGAAATACAAAAATAGTAATGATTTAGTTTTTAAAGATGAAATGACTTTGATCTCAATAAGGAGTTTTGTAAGACAGATAAATAAAATTGATTTTTTTGGGGGGGTGGTAGTGGATATTGGTACTGGGGCTTTGAACTCAGGGCCTGGCCACTTTTTCACTCAAGGCTGACACTCTACCACTTGAGCTCTAGCTTTACTTCTACCTTTTTGCTGCTTCGTGGACATACAAGTTTCATGTACTTTCCTATTCGGGCTGGCTTCAAACTACAATCCTCACATCTTAGCCTCCTGAGTAGTCAGGATTATAGGCCCAGCTGAGCCCTTTTATTTCTGTGAATTACTTGCTATTGTTACATAGTAGAATCAAATAGCCCAGGTTATGGTAGGAAGCAGAAATCAGTTGTTAGGTCAAAGCCCCATTTCAAAGTTTACCTTTGAAAGTATAGTTCTTCACTTGTTTCTTTTTTCTTTTTTTTGTTGTTGGTCAAACTCTGGGCCTGGCACTGTCCTTGCGCTCTTCAGCTCATTGCTTTTTTCTTTTAAGTCTTGTGTCTATACTCATTAGGGAGAAAAAATAGTGTGCTTTCAAAAGAAAAAAATTACTTACAATTGAGCTTTTTAAAGCTATTTAACCTAAGCAATGTCGGCAAATTCAGTTTTTCAATGCAAATGTGAGCGGCATTTAAGATGGATGCTCTGTGCTTTCTGCTGGTATAGGATGTGTGCTCCATACTCCCTGGCCCCTCAGGGAAGATGATGAAGCTTGAAGCCCCCAGCGCTCTAGTAATAAACTGAACTTGTGGTGTTGTTTTGGCAGGTTATTCTCGTTCAAGTCAATCCAGGAGAGACTTTCACAATCCGAGCTGAGGACGGGACTCTTCAGTGCATCCAGGGTAAGGAAAGTTTTGCTAACTATTTGGAGCAAAGTGTTTATCCCTTATTGTTTTGAAGAAGGAATATAAAGAAGTTTTTTTTTTTTCTGGTGCATCTATCTGACTTTCTTCTAGAAATAAAATATATCTGTTCCTTTTTTTCCCCCTGTCAAATAGTCTGATATACAAATGATGAACTTACTAGCAATATCTAGATCTTATTTACTGCTAACAAATCATCTCAAATTATAGATGCCTATAACACCCCCAGGCATGATGTCAGTTTCTGTGGATCTGGGATTTAGGTGTGGCTTTGCTATGTCCATGGGCCCTGGCCTCTCAAGTTTCTAAAGTGAGGGTGTGAGCCAGGGGTCCAGTTGTTGTAAAGCATAGGTGCAGGTAGATCTGCAACAGGTGTAGTTGAGTGGTTACTGGTACCACTTACTTTGATAGGGGGTGGCTATTAGTAGAAAATTTCTCTTGTTTTCTGTTAAATGGACATCTTGTTTAGCAGATGGGGTAAAGGACTTTAATAATGGCAACTGGCTTCATCAGAATGATTAAGAACCCTGAGGGGTCCGTAGGTCCAGACCACACTGAGCCTGTTCCCAAATCTTCTCACCTAGATCAGCCGCAGGTGTCGGGGAGGCTGGGCATGGGCTGAAGATGCAACGCCAAAGACGTTCATGGAATACTTATGCTGTTTCTTTTTTCTTTTTCTTTTTTTTTGGGTCCGGTTTTGGGGCCTGAACTCTGGGCCTGGACACTGTCCCTCAGCTCTTCAGCTCAAGGCTAGCGCTCTACCACTTGAGCCACAGAGCCACTTCCAGCTTTATTCTTTTTGCTTATTTAGTGCTGAGGAATCAACCCAGGGCCTCAGGCATGCAAGGCAAGCGCTCTACCACTGAGACACCTTCCCAGCCTTATGCTGTTCCTTTACATTTTTTTTTTTCAGAGAGAAATGGGTGAAGTAACTGTGGCCCCTGTAGAATTCTGGGTGGAAAGTCACTGCAGATCTGTGATTGGTCTATAAACATTGTTAGAAGGCATGGCTTGTGACAGGGTAGCTCTTTCTGACAGTGATTGGGATTATGTCCCAAATATTGAATTGGCCTGTGCTAATTATTGATTGAAGCAGAATCTGAGCAGAGGATTATTTGTATTAGTGGGACTGGCTTACCAGTGTGGGGGGAAAAAAAAAAAAGAGAGGAAATGACCATCAGTTTTACTTGCGTCTCATGTGGAACTTGCTTTGCCTAACAAGACAGCATGCTTTGTGGGCAGTACTTCTGTATTTATAAAAAATAATAAAAATAAAATCCACCTAAACTTAAAAGAATGGATTTTTGAAGACCCAAGCCTGATGAGTTTGAATTGTATTTAAGCTGAATGATTAAATCATTTGACTAATGATTTCTGCCGACTCCATTTCTCTAACCATAGTGTCCCTGAAATTGATCGTTGGTATTTGAAACCACTTAAAAATGAAGCTCATTCTTTGCTAATGAAAAATAACCTCAAGAAGAGAGGAAAGAAATACTTTAAAGTCGTATAAGAGATGGGATCTTCTGCCTAGTTGTAGTACTATAATAAATGAATATTGTTGACATCTACTTTGTATCTCTTTTAAAAACAATTCTGTAGGAAAACCAGATGGAAAGCTACCTATGTGGAACAAAGCAAATTTCTCACCCAGTAAGAAAGCAGTTTATCTTCTGCTTATGGTAGTGTTAGAGTCCTGTGAATTTATAGGTAGACTATGTGTCCCTGTACAAGTTAACATGGGGCTTAGAAGCCATAAAAGCAAATTGCTCCATGGATCAGCAGAAATGAAATCCAGCCTTCAAAATCAGCTGAGTTCACTTCCTTTTTTGTGTGTGTGTGTGTGTGTTGGCACTGGGACTTGAACTCAGGGCTTTGTGTTCTTGCTTGGCATTTTAATTAAGGAAGTCTGGCTCTCCACCACTTGAGTCAAAGTCCCACTTCCTGTTTTTGTTTTTTTTTTCTGGTTTATTGAAGCTAAGAGTCTCTAGGATTTGTCTTCTTAAGCTGACTTTGAACTGCAGTCTTCTGAGTAAGTAGGATTACAGGTATTCGCTACCAGTGCCCACCTTGAGTTCAGTTTTGGATAAGCGTGGGTATATAAATGTGTGTGTGTGTATACATGCGTGTGTGTATTCATGGAGTTAACCTCTCCCTCATTTTTATCTTCTGAGTTCATGTCAGGAGCGGGTGCACTCGGCAGGAAATGTTGCAAGTATATTGCTGCGTTCACAAAGGGAGCTCTGTATTTATTCATGATGATACTGGGAGATAAGTGACACTTACACCCTTCCAGTGACTTCAGAAATGGCTTTGACTGCAGTCGAATTGTGAAGCCTGTTATCTTGGTCTCTCCCAGCCTTCCTAGTCTTTGTTCTCTTCTGAGGATCCAGATTCTTCGTTAATATCTTCATTTCGGGCCTGGTGGCACCTGGCCCTGTTTCTTGACATGGCACAGTGAAGAGTGAGAAGGAACAGGAACCAGAAGCCATGGGCTGCGCTGCTAGAGTCAGGGAAGGACTGTGGCTGTGTGAGCCTCACCTCTGGACTCACGGGCTGCCACTAACATGTAACAGGTCAGGCACAGGGTTTTAAAAAGCCAGTGGTTGCAGTGGGAGGATGCCCATTTTCTTCAGGTATGTGACCAGAGCGTGGTGGGTTTCAGGTTGAAGAGAAACAGGATTCTGGGTAGCATGTGAGAGGGTCAGGGAGAGACAGAGCTGGTTCTCAGAGCAATGTGTAGTGTCGATGGACACCTTGTTAATACAGTAAGATGGACTTACTGGTTTGGGGTTGGACTGGGAATGCAGGAGGTATTGCTTTCTAACCTAAATCCTTTCTGTGCGAAGTCAGGATTGGGCTTAGATTCCGAGAGGAGGATTGGGCTTAGATTCCGAGAGGGCGCAGTTCCCAAGTGGGGCTTCAGCTCCAGCTGCAGGCCAGGCAGAATCCCAAGGAAAGAGCTAGAAATTGAGTCATTGTAGGGGATCTGGTGAAATTTTCGTAGGGGCTGAATTTAGCAGAATGCAGCTGACGGGTGTGTGCTTTTTGTTTGTTTTTGTTTTTGATGGTTGCTTTTGAGTTGGGGCAAGGTGAGCAAGGTAAGTGGTTGCTGGTGGCCTTCCTGGAAATTTGGAAGGCAGACTCATTGCTTGCGCCATGGTTGTAACTGTCAACCTCCTAACTTTGCTTTGGCAACACTGGCCAGCAGGCTAGACACTGCTTTTGGAACAGCGGGTGGTTGAAAGTAGGGCTGGTTCCTGGCCCTTCCTGGAAACTTTGAAACCATACCAGATAAGACCCACCCCCTTGTTTGTAGTTCCATCTTTCAGTTTAATGGCTTTCTAAGACATTGTCACAGCACTAGAAAGACCCTAGGAGCTCATCTTGATGTCTTTGAAAGCTCCTCAGCAGTTAAGACCAGTTTAGCATTGAAGAATATGGATGCTTGGTTGAGAAAGGGTTTTGTTTCCAGGAGAATATCCTTGGTCATAATGAAGGAAGAAAAACACAGGAAACATACAATATGCTAGGACAGCAGATTCATTTCTAATGGAATATTTCTCAATATTTTCCATGAAACATGAGTCATGAAGGGGCCACAAAAGGGCAGGGTTTACTTTTATTTGGAGGTTCCATCTACCTATGACATCCTAGACAAAAGTGTTTTCATTTCTTGGCCAGGTGGAATTGGAGAGCGAGCTAATTATTAGGAAAAAGAGCCATCAATCAGAGTCTCCCTGCTTTTGCTTGAAGTCAGGAATTCGTAGAGGGCAGCTGTGGCTCTCATTATTTTCATGTCCCTGTCTGGGCCAAGCACTGGCAGAGCAGCAGAGCAGCCTTCCTTCCTGTCCACACATGCCATCTTTCTATTTGGGCCACTTCTCTGTTCCCTGTGAAATCCTTTGGCCAAAACAAACACCCCACTTCCTGGAAGGCTCAGGTCTGTCTCTTCCCAGAGCCCTCCAGATCACTGCAGTCCATCCTGACCTCCTTCCTCTGGGTTGGGAGGAGAAGGGAGAGGTAATACTCCATAGTCTGGTTGTGTGTAAATCTTTCCTTCACCCCAGATTACTCTGCAGTCAGCTGTGGCTAGAAACAGCCAGCCCTCCAGCCTGATATCCAGCTCTAGACAGCCTGATGGCCATTTCTGTCTACTCCTGACCAGCTTGCCTCTCTGCCAGCTGTGGCAGTCCTTCTTTAACTCTTACCATTCTAGTGGTTAACATCTTAGCGGTTAGTTATATGTCTATCCAATTTAAAAACTTCAAATCACACTGGGTGCTAGTGGCTCATGCCTGTAATCCTAGCTATTCAGGAGGTAAGATCTAAGGATCCCAGGTCAAAGCCAGCCCCAGGCAGATGAATCTGAGATACTGTAACCTCCAATTAACTACCAGAAAGCCAGAAGTGGATCACATGGCTGAAGTTGTTAGAGTACCAGCCCTGAAGGAGAAAAGCAGAGTGAGAATGGAGATCAAGCTCCAGTACTGGTATAAAAAATAAACAAAATTCAAATCATATGGTTGAAGCACACTTGTTTGCTTTACAGAAACATGTTGTAGTTCTAAAAAACTTTCATAATGATCCTACATGAATAATGAACTTTTACATTTTCCAATTGTTATACGCCACCTGAGCCTGTAGAAAACAGGTAGAGTAAGCAAAAGCAAATTGCTTAGAAAGAAGCGCCATCATTTTGATCAATAACAACAGTGAAAGACTAGTTGGAAATGGGTTTTGTCCAGAATTATTTAGAATATCTTTTGCAATAATATTTACTCCACTAACTTAGGTTAGTGGAGACCTGGAAATGACTAGAGAATAGCCACTGTGTGCTTAAAAGGACACGTAAGAGGATCTATTTGGAGTCAGCCATCGCTTTGGAGCTGCTTGAATGGACAGCTCTCTCCTCTTTCCTCTTCACCTCTGTGTGTGATTTGTGCTGTGAGAGTGGGTGAGGGAAGGGAGTCAGTGAA